TTATGGGCTCTGAAGCAGGAACCTATACTGCCCAAGCACTTCTTTCTCCAGTTTCTCCTATTTTTGTTTGAATTACCTGCTCAGTTCTTGGGAACTGGACTTCACTCTTGCTGGGAAGCTGTGCTGTACCCAATCAATAAATGCTTCAGAAGTTTAATGGTTTAGTTATGACCAATCTGGCACTGTGTATTTACATAGTGGTTAGGGTTTGGTATGAGTGGGCTGTGGTCCACAAATGTTTCATAATAAACAAACAAATAAATAAATAAACACCACCACCACCAACAAACAGTCTCGGCAACTAAAATCATCGAGTGGAAACTCCTATTTTTTTGTGAAATTCATGCATGAAAGCTATGCCGGGTTTGCTGAGCTCTGTCACTATTTCCTTGTAGACCTCACCAGCTGTAGCAAAATTCAGCCCCATGGTGTCAGGGGTGTGTTAACAAGAGCGTTGCCCTTTGCAGTACCTCCTTGTCTAGCATACACCATGCTTTGAATTCCCATAGCCCGCTGTACACTGCTCTCATTTATCTTCTGCCCGTTATCTGTGTCATAAACTGAATATTTACTCTCTTCCTTCTCTCTGAGTCTTTACAGCATCACATATAAGTTGATTCTCACACACAAAGACCTTCAGAAAGTCCAGAGTTGTCTCTTCAGCTACCAAGGAGACTAAGTTCTTCAAGGCAAGCAGAAAACGTGTTCAGAGTTTGTCCAGCTCTGTGCTCTGCACTGCCAACACAGCTGGGTATTGCTGTACCAGGAAGGAACATCGGCCTTGGCTGAATTGGGTGCACTCATGCAGGTAGGTAGTGAGAGGTGGTGAAAAGCTGGTGAAAACCCCAGGTCCATGCTCTCAAGCTTGTTTTTTTATGTTTCTGTCTTATGCTATAAGTGTTTTATGGAAGAGCTGATGACTGGCAGCCAAGACATCCACCTTTGGTGAACCCTTAAAGCCACCGAGCTGTTGCACTCACTGTTCTACCACAAGGCTCAGCCTGCCAAGAGCTGGGACTGTGCATCCCACTAGCTTCCCAGGGCTGGACCTAAGGATGGAATAAATAAATACAACGGGCAAACACTGAGTGGTGCTCCCTTGCCTCATTCCCAACAATGCAACCGAAAATACGTGTGTTGCCTTCACCCATCTCTACTCACACCCAGGATCCAGTTCCTCCCTCACATGACTGCATCATTAATTTTCCTGTGTCTGGTATTGAGGTTTGACAAGACAGAGCTGCTTTTATAAATGTTTCAATGTACATTCCAGCTACATCTGGATTCGGAGGTCTTCTGGGCTGTGAGGACACATTCGTGTTTGGAGGTTGCAAGAGGAAGCCAGAGTCTGATGACCACATTTGGGTTATGTCTGGTTCTTCTTTCCCCAAGTGCATATGGCTCATTACTAGCAAAAGGCTTCTGTCCTGCAGGGTTTAGTGGCTTTCTGGATAAAGTCTTTGATGGAACTTCATTTCATGGCAAGTCTACCTCCAGTACCTTCTTCTTTGATAGGTAAGAGAAAAATCTTTCATTCCTTTGCTGGGATGGGATCCACCTGGACAACTTCTTGGCTCTGCTCACATGGCTCTGTTTCAGCCTCTTCCCTGCCACACAACCAAGCAAAGTTTTCTGGAGCTTCAGGAAGAGAAAACCACATTTGAATTAATTGCCTGTGGTTCTAGATGCAAATCTTCCCTGCATTTCTGTGCCACGTAACTCATCTCTGCATTCACTCGTTCATCTCATTAGTTTTGATTAGAACTGGAGGGGGGAGAGGGATTCTAAGACCTTCATTGACCCATTCTGGTATATGCTGGAAATTTATTCAGGTCAATTAGACATCTGCCGGTTTCATATTCAAAGGCCATGACATATGTTTGCTCAACAGGGTACGGCAACAAGGAGAAACTGAATTTGCATCCTGAGCAAGGTGGCACAACGGTGTATCAATATCGTTTTTTAATGAGATTTGCTGGCTTTCACAGACTTGAGAAAGTGTAAATTTATGCTAAAATGTCAACAAATGCCAGTCAAACAAAGTTCTGTATCATCCCTGAATGCAAAAGACACAGAGGGATACAGTGAGTCATTACAGCTTGTTAACTCCAGGAGTTACATTGACTTGCTTTTGGCTACGCTTGCCTAAGCTAAAAGCCCCATTCTGCTTCTCTGAGAGCACTTTTGCCCTTTTCAGAAGCAGTTGTTTTAGTGTTAGGAGACCTATTTCTCCTGTATACATCACATTTATGCCAGTCCACAGTTTTTGAAGTCGTGAGCTTCAAGTGAGCCACTCAAAATCTTCAGGACATCAGATTTGTGGGTGCCCAGCATACACTGGTGCTTGTATAATAGCCCAGCACTTAGGTAAGATGCTGATTTCCAAGCTGTTGAGTAAGATACGGGTATCTAAATGCCACAGCGAAGACAGATAAACATACCTTGGCTCTAAATGACCTTTTTCTGCAGAGCTAATTAGGTTTACCAGTTGTCCCTGATCAACTGGTGTTCTTCTTGGACTGGTTTCTAGCTTCCCAAGGGCTCATTTCAGCATCTTTGTATCATCACACTGTGCTGATGTCCCCTAAACAGAGTTGCATGCCCAGCCTTGAGCAGCTGGCAGCCTAAATAGAAAACACGACACCAAGGGCAGCAGAAACATAAAAACACCACGAGGACTTTCACAGGTTTGGGTCACCGAGTGGTGGCAGAGTCAGGAGAATCCCTATGTCCATCGTGCCCCATGCTGCTGGACTAACAGGGACTCTGACATTTACTTACATGTACAAAGTAGATGCAGACATATGCATGACCTGTAGCCAAGTGCATTAAAAATATAGAAATATATGACATATGAATCCAGCTCCCTCAGAACCACACATGGCCTTTACATTCATTGGGATGCTAGATGGAGGACTCTGAGTGATCTGAATATTGCCAGTATTTCTAGTCCATTTGGTCCAAAATGTAGTTCTTCACCAGTTTAGCTGAGTAGCCTTTCCTTGCCAATTGTCCCAAATGGAGAGTATTGTACACATTTTACATAATTAGCTAATTTCACTAGCTAATTTAACATTAATAGCAAATCTGTGAGTTGAACGCCAGCAAATGAACTCATTAAAGAGAGAAAAAATGGTGCGTTCTCCTTTTTTTTTTTTTCCTCATCTAGTTTTGCACTCTTATCAAGATGCTCTGGGGAAATCAGGATTTCAGGGAAATTCGGGTGATCAAATAAATAGGGTTTTATTGATAAATTAAAAAGGATGCATCAGAATGTCAAAAAGCTTTTACTGAGAGATACTCCCCCTGTTTAGGAAGGACCCCAGTGTAGGGGACCCCACACAGCCTTTTTTAATTTAGTCTCGTTTGTTGAGATGAGAATATGAGATTTCATGGTCCCCCTGTCCCTCAAAGTGCCTTCCTGAGTCCTAAGCATCCTGTGAACATTGATTATTTGGGAGATGTATTTGGGGACATCAGCATGATGGGGTATTGGCCATTTCATCTCTGTTAGCCCAACAACTCCCATGGCTCAGATGGAAAATGGTTCTTACCAGAAGGGAGCTCTGCTCCACCCTTCTCCTTCATCTCCCCAGCTCCACAAAAAAGCACTTTCGGGTAGTTCTACAAGTGTCCCTCTCTCACACAACCTTCTTCTCTCATGTCCCAGCTCACTTTTTCCCACCTCTATGTGCCACACCTCCCACCACTCAAATAGAGTAAGACAGCAAGGGGCATATGGGAAGCTGTGTGATGGGGCAGGCTAAATAAGGGTACTGCAAAATGAAAAAACGAAGTGTTGTGCAACCCTGTAGAGGCCCTCATGTCGATTTGACCGAGGACATAGGGATGTAGGCATCTGCTCAGCCAAAGTCTTCCAATGACACCTCTTTACTTCAGACACCAGGGTTGGGTCTGACGACCTCCTGAGGTCCCTTTCAACCTCAGCCATTCTGTGACTCTTCGATTTCTTGTTTCACTGGTGTCTGTAAAATTGGGGTAATAATGAAAGGAACTGATGTGAAAAGATGGGTTAAACACTGAAATACTCACGTAGACTGGCCATGGAGTG